AGATATCCCAAATGGCTAGTTTGTCTTCTCTTATTCTGTTATTTTACCTTCCAACGGCTTCGGATCATCCCACTGGCTATGGCAAGGTCTATGTCGGACTAGGTCCATTGTATGCCCCACAGCAGGGTGGGCGTTAGAACGGTGAAATGAGTATGAATTGGCTTATAATTAATAAAGGCTTGCGCGGTAGCTAACACACTTTCTCGTACTCCCCCAGTTTGGCCAGGTGTCATGGCAGTCTCGAGTACGTGAGGCGAGAGAGGGCGCAGGTATTGGTGCGCGTCATGATACCCCTTAGGTGTGGCATTTGTAATGGGTAAGCATCCGCAACAACGCATGCCGTAAGCCACTCTGAATCCTGTGAGTGTCCGGCGCATCCATAACGTGAACTATTGTAGGCAACGTGAGAACTCTGAACGTCACAAAGTCCTCAACAAATCATCGGCCATGTACGTATCAGCAAGCAGACAGAAAATTGACGAGGGCTCACCCAAAATAGCGTCTAACCACGATTCAAAGGGCAAATTCATGACGAACGAACTCACTTCATCGACAATGGTTTTTATTATTTCATTGGCCCTCTGAAGGTCGTCCGGGTTGCGGCTCTTGAGGAGTTTCGCGAGAGTCTGTAAAGATGCAGTAGGGTTATTGAGGGGATGACACAGCAAGAAGGATGCGGCGAACGGACTTACCTCAGCATGTCGGCTGTTCTCAAATATGCTGTTTCGAGAGGAGTGCTCTTCGTCTCCCGTAGCCTACAGGGAAAACACCGTGATATGAGTTCGCCCTCTACAGATATATTTTGTATTTAAAGTCGGGACAACATTATCACATAAGTAACTTAGCGTTTTTCACCTGTAAGATACCATGCCATCAATTAAACTCCCAAAAATTCAACAGTACGAATAGCAAGGTAGGAAAAGCTGACAGGCATGGTACATTTGAATGTAAACAGGCATCTTCGGAGGAGAAGTGCTCGAGGTCAAAACCAAATCCTTCGTTAATCCTGGTGGACGAGCCTGTCCACTTTAGGCTGATGGCATTGCTGGCAAAGACAAGGGAGGCTTGAATGGCCACTTCCGGCTCATTATCTGTTGCCAGCCAGTCATGCCCAATCAAAATTGGTGCAGGACCCGAGGCTCGAACTCGCGACCTCTTGATCAGGACTTCAACGCTCTAACAATTGAGCCACGAGCTCGTTGTCTTGCCGATTTAAATCGGTAGATATTGACACTCGTTGATTAACGTTTGTCCATCGCTGACCAAAAGGGGCAGCACTTGGGGTGAGATGCGAATGACCGATGACGGCTTATAAGCCAGAAGAGGCTATTCAAGTCCCTCTTGTTTTTGCCGACAATATCATCTGCCTATACTACTAGCCGCCGTGTGACTGTTGGTGGGGTTCAATAATAAACACCAAGGCAGAGCGGGATGAGTGAGTACCGTTAACGGTCGGTGAACGCTCACTAACGAACCTCTATATTGTATTCCCATATTGGGTTAAAATAATTCCCGAGTGTGTGGAGAAGCCACAGACAGTAACAGAGGTGTGGAACGAGAAAGAAGCTGAAAACTTCGTTTCATTAAGCCAATTCTCTGATGAAGTTATTGAAACAAAAGTGCCTCGAAGTTTTTCGGAAAATATAAACGAGGAGAACACTAAGAAACGAAGAAGCAAATAAGGCGATTGCAGAAAACATACGTTAGGCGGGAACAGCAGTCAAAACCAGTAGGTAAACTATATAACATCAAACCTTTGCTGGTGCTGGTGTGATCTGATCTTCTTTTATAACGCCTTGTGACTTTAGTAGTTGGTAGGCTTCGCCGATTTTGGGATACTTCTCGCCCAGATCGCGATTCCAGGTGACGAGGAGTTCGATACACTTGCTTTTTACACGCTCTGAAGTAGAGTCACCTAGGTGCTAGCAATGGCAAAATGTGAAAATGTTAAAGGACTCAGTAAACCTACTTGATCATTTTAGTAGAATTTATCTGTAGATATATTTGGCT